GGATATCTGAATCCCTCCAGTGGAATTATAAACCCCTAGGAAGGATATCTGAATCCCTCCAGTGGAATGTAAAACACCCTGCGTAAAGTTTTGAATTGTAAAAAGCATTTTTTGAAACCCCTCCAGTGAAAATAAAATCCCTCCGGTGGTCTCCAGTAGAATCGAAATCTTACTACGAACTTCTTTGAGTCCGTAAAACAAGTGTTTACTATAGTTTATATGGTATCTACGGAGTACAGACTACACCCATTGTAAAAGTTTTAATGATAAGACAATGGCGTAACACAAAACGTTGGGTATACATCGTTTAATCAATCTTGAGTAAAACAAAAGTAGAAAGATTTCGATAACAAACTGGAAACAGGTTTACTGATATATCGTTTTTTGTTTTTTATGCATGAGCTTTTGCCCACAACCCTTAATTAAAATAAATTATTTTTTAAAGTTAAAAAAGCATTTGTTGTACTGTGTTATAGCTTAAGCATGTATAATTTTTAATATTTTCAAAATGGTTTTCGAATCTACATTCAGCATGAAATAAATGTCCAATAATATTGGATAGAAACTACGCAATACATGATTTTTTTGGAACTTTGCTTTGCTAGGCTGAATTTTGCTGATACTTCATAGTCCAATCAGAGATGTATGAACGATTTAGAATTCTTTTATCGCAATAATTTATTAAGGTGCTGGGTGGTTGGCTCAATTCCAATTTTGATGATGCCTCTACATACAAAGAACAAGGCGTTAGTAACGGTCTTAAACTTCTAAAATTCATAGATTTTAAAATTTTGTCTGAAGTAAACAGCATTTTAAATTTAATGATTTGGCAAATAGAGAAAAAGTTTAATAAACTTCGTGCAATGAGATCTTTAAAAAAACGTTTGTTAAAAATTGAACGGAAATGAAAATGAATTAAAAAGAAAAACTGTGTCCGGATGTCAAAACAAAATTTGAACCAAATTCTATAAATTGATATTTCATGTTTATTTTTTCATGCTTTTTGTTATATGCATCAATCAGTCGTTGCATTTTTAATGCAAAATCCAGTTATATTGTAAAAATGTTTGCAGCGAAAAAAATGTCCAAAAAAAGGTAAAATATACATTTTAGAAAAGCCCTTGACCATGCCATTTCAAATATGCAAAAACATTTGCAAAATTAAAAAACCTGATGTGTAATTTTAAAAAAATGTGCAAATTTCTTTTTTTGGGTAGTATTAGGGTTTCCAACGTAATAGATTATTCTCTTACGCGAAATTACGTGCAGTTACGCGTAATGATTTTCATTTCGTGTAATTTCGCAGGATTACGCGTAATTGGGGAACTATCCATTTTGCGAAATTACGGCGTAATTTCGCATAATTTGGCGTAATTTCTACAACGTAATTTCGCGAAATTTCGTAATGATTACGTGAAATAAGCGAAACTATAATTACGGCATAATTTCGCGTAATTTCTATGAGGTAATTTCGCGAAATTTTGTATTAAGTACGCGTAATTAGCGAAACTTCATTTTCGCGAAATTACACCGTAATTTCTGCAAAGTAATTTAGCGAAATTTTGCAATAATTACATCTATTAAATTTCGAAGTTTTAACTTTTAATTTAAATAAAACAACTAACTTACAAGGAATATAATGTCACACAAGTTGAATCAGAAATTTCAGCCAATACTATGTTGATGTAATTTTTACGTTCGACAACTAAAAAGTTTAAAAAGGGCCAACAATTTATTTTATCAAAAGAATGAAAAAAATGTCAATAAAATCGTCAAAATATGTTTGACATGTTGTAGCGGGCATATCCTTACACATACTTTCCCGCTATAATTATTTCTGAGAATTAATATGTACTTTATTTATTACGGAATTGTGTCGTATTACGTAATTTCGCGTAATTACGCATTAATTACGCGAAACTAGACTTTCTTTCGTAAACGTAATAAACGCGTAATTACGCGTAATGCTCCTGGGTAAGTGAAAGAAAGTGTTACGCGTAATTACGCGTAATTACGCGTAATTACGCGTAACGTAATTACGACTGGAAACCCTAGGTAGTATGCAAATAATTTGCAAAAATTTCTTTGTAATACTTGTCCAATCCGTTTCCTTATGTCATAGGCTTTTCAAAAAGCTAAAAATTATCACAATGTTTTGAATGTCTTCTTCTACATACTGTATTTGATTTTTGTGGTTTATTTCGCTAAACAAATCCCCCCTTAGCATCAAATGAACATGAAAAAAAATTCATTTTCATTTAAAACATTTATCTTCCTTTTGACCGTTCTGATCGCTTTCCTTTTTAAGCAAAATCTATTCTTAATATAAAGTACAGGGTGTCCCAAAAACATGGGAATTTAGTGACGAATTCGATATCGTCTTTGTTCTGAATTAGCATTGTAATACCTAATTTCAAAAGCCATAATATTATTATGTCTGCTAGAGTTTATTTAAAGAAAAGGGTAAAGACTGCAAAGATGTGTCTATAATGTGAATATAGATGAACAGTGAATACGGACAAGTTTTCTCTGTTTGTATACTGTAATTTTCTTGTTTTACTATAAGGACAACCGGTTGCAGTCAAAACATAAACAAACAAAATGTAAACATAGCTGCAGACGAAACTCTTACAGATTACAGCTTTCTCAGTAGGTATCACTATACTAAATCAAAGAATTATTTGAAAAGACGATATCGAATTCGTCACTGAATTCCATGTTTTTTGGGACACCCTGTACAAAAAGTAAATAAATTTGAGCACTCCAGCAAGGTGTTTTTAAGTTGAAGAAAAATGTAAAACAAATAACGAAGAAAAGGGATTAAAGCTAACAGTTTATGTTTTATTTTAGATCTAAAAATTAATTCAAGAATTTTTGTCTTTGCTTTTATCCTGTGAAACAATTTAAATGAAATGATGCTGCAGGGTTGGAATAAAAATATCTTGGTATACAATATAAAACACTAATTTAAAATGAAACTAAAATAAATTTCCTTGATAAATTCATGTGTTCCAGGTGTCTGACGCATATTCTATTTTATTTTCATTTTCTTGGTAAGGTATTTGGACAGAGATGCTTAATATTTTTCTACTTGAAATGTGATTTGCTTTTATGTCATTGAGGTAGGGTCCAGGGGGGGGCTTACATTTTCTTCTCTTTCCAGGTGGGGCTCATCACCCTTTGGGTCCTAAAAACCCCCTGAAATCAATAGATTTCACTGGTCCAGGGGGGCTTAGCCCCCATAGCCCCCCCCCCTGAATACGCCTCTGGTAAGGTTATATATTTTATAGTTATAAATTAAATTGTTAAAATGTATTTCTAGATTCAAAAGTTCTAGAAATAAAGAAATAAAGTTAAAATCAATTTTTCTCCAATTTAAAGGGACAGACCGGCTATGTAAGGTAGTTAAACTGAGTATGCAGTAAACGACGTTACCTTTCACATTAGAGATTAAATGAAGGTTGCCATTTTTGATAAAATTACGGTTTCAAGGGTAACACAGTCCTGTTAGGCAGAACAAACTTATTTGGTTGTCGCCCCAGATTGATATAAAGTATCATCTCGTCTAATCCGGGCCGAGACCTAAAACCAGTTTATCCGTAACTGGATAACCAATGCCGTATGCTACAAAATGTTAAGGTAACCCTGCTGGAGCACAAACAAATTGATATTGGTACTTTAATATATATATTGATAAATAACTCAAGGTTTTCAGGGGGAATTTGTAAAAACATTAGCTTTTAGCTATTTAAGCTCTCCTGCTGCAGTAGTTTTAAGAACATTTTTTTGTACAATTGCTCCTTAAATAGCTAACTCTGAGAGAAAATGGCGATCCTTATGTTGTGTCTCTTAAAAGAAAAAAGTTTTTTACTTCATTAATATCTAAATATTTATTTTTAACTAAAAAATTTAAAAATCATTATCACAATTAAGTTATGTATGGTTATTAAAAAATCAAATTTGAATTGATTTTAAATGAATATCAATGATCAATCAATTTCCGAAGTTTACAGAGTCTGATTTCTTCTCTTCTGTGTTTGCAACTCTCCCGTTCGAGACCTCAGTCTCTGTTCGGATCCCAGGGTATCCTCCATTATTGTTTAAACCTCCATTATTGAATCCTCCATTGTTGAAGCCCCCATTATTGGATCCTGGATTGTATCCTCCATTGTTATTTAAACCTCCGTTATTGAAGCCTCCATTATTGTTGAAACCTCCGTTGTTGAAGCCTCCATTGTTAGATCCTGGATTGTATCCTCCGTTATTAAATCCTCCATTGTTGAAGCCTCCATTATTAAAATTGCCTCCATAGGGGCAAAGGGGAGCCCCTATCTCCGGTGTAGCACAGGCCTGATAGGACCATAGCTTTTGTCCAAACCTCACTGAACGTTGGAGGTCACTGCACCTGTTAAAATTAGGATCCACATAGCACCAGAGTGCTCCAGTTTTATCCGCAGATTTACAATTTCCATTCTGTTTTCCGTATTTATCCAGGAAAGTAATTTCAGAGCATTGACACTCGCAGTTAACCTGTCTTGAAGCTGCCTTGCTGTCCACTTCAAACTCTTCGCCGGTCACCATCGCCGTCACGGCGATGCTAAGGATTAAAAAGGATTTCATGTTTCTTGATCTTCTTGGTTTGATGCGTATTTGTTAACTGTGGTTGTGTCAGGTTTCTCTGGGTTTAAATATGCGCGTGCGTGCGCGAGGGTTTTCCAACCAGGCCGGGAGATTTGAATGCACGGAAAAATCACTTTTGTTTGAGCACGCCATCTTTATTATATAGGTCCTAGAGGGGGTCCACAAAAATGTACTGGATTAAAACTTTTAAATATTTAGTTGACATTATGACAAACATATTTCATTTTTTTGGTTTGATTATACAAACCCATAAAATGTATAGACGCAGAATTTCTTCTTGATGGAATTGCGGCTACATCCGGGGTGCGGCAGGACCTTTGCACCCCCCTGACGGATTCAGGGGGGGACGCCCCAAGATTTTAGAATAGCTTCTCAATAGCACTTAAAAGAAAACCTTGTGCAAAACAGAAAAAATATCTATCTTAAAAAAATGTAGCTTTTGGTTCCTATATCTCCATTTTTTGGTCTAGCCCCCCCCCCCCCTCACTTAAATCCTGTATTCGCACCTGGCTACATCTTAAAGTCCATGCGAGTCTTATACTTTGTTTTCCAACTATCTGATGAATGTTGACATTCTTTTTTTATTAAATTTAAACGTTTTTTATTGGAGTTGTAAATATTTTGCGACACTCTATACCTTCAGCCTTCTATTCAACATGAGAAACAGATTTGAAAGGCATTCATTTTCTTTACAGAATTAGCATACAAAGGCAAGGCAGGGATTTCTGATCATCATTCCATGGAGGGGGAGGGAGAGGGGGGTTCACTGAGATTTTGTGGATTGATACTTAGCATTTAAGCGTGGGTGTAGATAGTGTGCTTGGGAAAACCTTTAAACATAATAATTTAAAAAGGGAGTGGTTGACCGGCAATGTATAGTGGTTGAACTAAGATTGCAGTATTTATGAGAGAATTCTTAGGATTCATTTGAGACATATTAAACGTTTTAAAGATCTAAAATTACTGACTTTGAGCGCAAAGTCGCCGTTCAAAATCATCAATTGATATACGTTTTGAGAATCGAGTTTTTTTAAATATTAAATAACAACGACAAATAAATATGGTAAAAATTCTTTAGTAAAATAATTAGATGTTTAGGAGAAAATTGTCAATAAATCAATGTTATAATGAATTATTTCGTTATCATTATAGTGAATTTATAATTTTCTATGAATTTGTTTGCAGATCTCTACAAATTCTTCAAATTTCGTCTTTTCAATAAAAATTCCAGAAAAACTTTGTGAATAATGAGAGATTATAGAAACTAATAATTGAATAAGATTACTTATTTTCGATTAGCTATTCCTAAACAACTTATTAGTTTAATGTAGAATTTTTGTTTCATTTTTTGTCGTCGTTATTTAATAATTTATAAAACCGTTCCTCAAAACGTACCAAGACAAATTTATGATTTTGAACGTCGACTTTGCGCTCAAGCTCAATAATTATAGACTTTAAAACGTTTTATATGTCTCAAATGAATCCTTAAAAAATTCTCAACAATACTGCATCAATCTCAGTACAACCACCATACATTGCCGGTCACTCCCTTTAAGCATACTTGAGGAATCAAGAGTTGAGGGAAAAAGAACCGCTTCTTTTATGATTTTTATGATAATCTTTGGAACCCAGCGTTGTTCAGGGAACTTATTATAGCTACTCCCGCCGTTTACACTCAACTTGGTTTTAAATTACGATTTGTACCCCCATAAAAGTCGACCAACTTAACTTAAAATTTCAAATCCAAGCTAAGAACATTCCCGTGGTTCTCTCGAGTTCCACAATTAAAATTTGAAGCAAAAAGGTCCAGAAATCCATATGTTATGATCGGACAAACAAACAAACAGACATGCGGATATTACTAGTTTATAAATATCATATCGTAACATCACTTTGAATCAATGACGAAAGTCCTTTCAGGAAGTTCAACGGAAAAATAGTTCAAAGAAGTAAGGTTTTCCAGTATTACAGGGGAATAAAGTTTCAATCCGAGATTTGGCTCAATAACTGACGGTTAGTTTTACATTGATTTACAACAATTATCATGTATAACATTTTTATTTTCAATATTAACAATTATAAAAATATGCGGTTACAATTTTTACGTTATAAAGTTATAAAAATAAATTTTTTAACAAAATCTCAAATGATATTTAGATTTTAGAAATACCTTATCTTTACAATATGATATAAATATAAAAACTTAATACGAAATAAATAATACTAAATGTAAATTGGAACAGCTTTTTAGGTTCCTAGAAAAAAAAAAAAACATCTGTTCAATGCGTAGGAAAACGGTCCTGTAGAACCCCACATCTATTGCACTGCTATGAGTATTTAGCCTCCTAAATACTGACCTAACATCTGTAAAATATATCCACCACCGTTAAAGTAACTGTTGATGTAATTTCAAGAGTGACTTTCCACAACGGTACAATTTAGACCCCATTATCTGATTATATATATATATATATATATATATATACATATATAATATGTGTTCAATTCTCATAATTTTCTTCATTGAAGTATAAATGCGCGAGTCTCTAAAATTTGAAAGTAATCAGTTTTTAAAGAGATATATTATGCTTAAGTGATCAGACAAAGCATTAAAGGGTACCGTTGTAAATCGTACATGCCACTCTAGTAGGTCACTTGAAATTAAGCATTCAGTACCATTAAACATTCGATATGTACATTCCACCAGAGTATGTATGGAAATATTCCATCAGAGTATGTGTGGGAATATTCCTTCAGAGTTTGTATGGGAATATTCTACCATATTATGTATGGAAATATTCCATCAGAGTTTGTATGGGAATATTCCATTAGAGTTTGTAATGAAATATTCCATCAGAGTTTGTAATGGAATATTCCATCAGAGTTTGTTTGGAAATATTCCATTAGAGTATGTATGGAAATATTCCTCCAGAGGACGTGTGGTAATATTCCATCAGAGTATGTGTGGGACAATTCCATCAGAGTATGTATGGGAATATTGCTCTGCGGTTGGAGGGGTACTCCTTGAACTTGTTCTTGTACCAGGTGTGGGACATGAGGGCGGCGAGTATCTGGTTCACCCACACCCAGCAGCACACGAACAGCATGGTCTGATGACGAGGTCCCAACAACTAAACAAATCAATTAATCAATCAATCAATCAGGGTTTTATTGGATGTTCTACTGGCTACCCATAACCCACATCTCAAACTCAAGATTACTTAATCAAGAGAAGAATGAGCTATGGTCCCAACAACTAAACAAATCAATTAATCAATCAATCAATCAGGGTTTTATTGGATGTTCTACTGGCTACCCATAACCCACATCTCAAACTCAAGATTACTTAATCAAGAGAAGAATGAGCTATGGTCCCAACAACTAAACAAAAATCTCATTTGATAAATAAAATTATTCTTGGACCAGATTTAATGAATGATGAGAATCAGTTGAATCCGACAGTTCAACTTGAACGGCGACAAAACAAAAATGGATAATGTGGTTCAACTACTTCTCAATGTTCATTAGATCCGGTCCAGGGGTATTGTTTACCTCTTTGTTCAAAAGAAGGCGTTATATGAAAAAAAATCACAGTGAGAACCAGAAAACTCTGGAATAGGAAGAAGACTTTAAAAGACTCAAGTTATGACTTTAGATAGTCCAATGACCATGAGACACAGCAATTGTGCAATGTAAACAGACCAATTTTACTTAATAAGTGATTTTACTACTTGCTAGTAAAACTGTTTGCCTTGTAATAACATCAAACAAACTTGGGCTTGCATTAATGTCATCTTCCTACTCCACAGTTTTCTGGTTCTCACTGTGTGCTTAACTAACCAAAGTCGTCGTTAGTCCGTTTTTCTGAATACAACTGTAGTTTGTTGCAATTAACCAATAAGGCCATTCCCCCTCCCTGCTCAAGAATTTCAGACCTTATTTACCATCTTTGTTATTGTTTACAACAACAAAACTAGCTCCTGAGCTGTCCTAGTGCGTCACAGTATATTGTAAACAAGCCCTATTCTCTGCACTTTCGTATTAGATTATAATTAAAAACTAAGCTACTTTTATAGATATAATCAATATTTAAATGGCATTAATAAAACCATAAACATATCCTTGCGGAACACCATTTTGAATTTAAATTACCAGCATAAAGACCGTGTAGATGATAATCTCGCAGAGGTAGTGGGGGCAGGAGACCAGGGAGAACAGGGACCCCTCAGGGATACCGTGCCCCCCTTTCGTCTTCTTCTTCAGCTCAGAGAAGATCAAATGTGTTCTTAAATAAAAATATTTAAGATACTACATGTTAAAACGTGGTTAACAACTGAAAGAATGATTATATAAATAAACAAATGTCTATTTCACACCTTAACATGTTTAAGATTTTCAGTTATGAAGTCCAAGCGTATATTCAGATGTTGAGTATTTTACAATGACCACCAGAGGCGCAACTAGGGGGGGGGGCGGCCGGGCGCGCGCCCTCCCCTAGCACCTGAGAGGGGGGGGCGCGCCCCCCCCTGCAGAATGAAAAGAAAGAAAGCATGACGAAAATCAGTATCACAGGAAATTTGTAGAAATTTTATTATACTTTAGTTAGTTTAGTTTAAAAAAAAAAATATTTTTATCTTAAACTTTCTCAATTCTCAAGGCTAAAGGCTATTGTAAACATTTAATGTATTTTATTTGTGTTGAGTTTATAGAGTACAAACTGTACAAATGTACAGTCCTATACAGTAGAGTTGAGTGACTATTTGACAAGACAAGACAAACAGAGCCTGCTTCTTAAATCTTTAAGTGATGATTTTTCCAGATCGTAGTAATTTTATCATTTTATTAATTTAAAGAAAAAAAATCATATGTATCTGATTACATTTACGTGCATTAAGTATGTAGTAAAGAATTGATTTTCAAAACGTTATTCATTTTCAGTTTCTGGTTTTTAAGTGAGATGAAATCATGAAAAAAGACACTAGGCCTACAATGTTACAAGTATAAGATATCTGGATCCCCTCTATCCCCCCCCCTTCTTCCCATTCTAGTACATGAAAAATACTGTTTTGACAGCAATAAAATGCTCAGACTAAATATTTTTTGGGAATAAAACAAATATTACATCAGTGATTGACCCTTAGATTAGAAGTTTTGAACTGAAGGGGAGGGGAGAGTGGGGGGGGTCTTCAAGATTGT